CATTTCAATCGATTGGTCTATAAATGTGACCTGTAGAGCAACTGCAATATCATTTTACGAACATATCCAACAACAATAGATTCTATTCTAACCCTAACTGCATCCGTGAAGATCGGTCCATAATTGCGAACTGTAGGGTGATTACGAATTAACATGGACAGACGGACGGACACACAATTCTAAATGAACACAGTTCGGCGCGATAGGAACATCGATATAGAATAATACAACGGGGACCAATATTTCGACACATTAAAAACTTTCAAACTTGCTTTGAAATATTAAAAATTGTAAGAAAAAAGTTGCATTAAAATAATAATTAACGCATCCCGAATACACATTTAAACGCTATATCATGCATATGGGTTAGGTAAATAGAATACCACCTTGTATTATCGTACACTCATACATGTGTACATTATGTTGGTATTTATCTTTTTTATACGGATTTTAAAGTCGACATTTACGCTGTCCAAACAATAGGGCGGCAATTTGGCCTTATCATCAACTGTTCTTTAATTTAAGCAATAAAAGAAAACAAAGTGTATTCATAACGCTTGCGATCGCTGCTGCTGGCAACAACTGCAGGCGCGCTGCAGAGCTAGCCTACGCTACAGACGCTTCCACAAGTGTTCACAGAACTGAAAGAGTATCGGGTCAGAGAAGACGACATCGCTCGTTACAAACAATTAAAATCGCAACCGTTGACAGTCATTCTACAATTTTAAAAACAAAAAAAAAAAAACGACGTCTGCACAAAACGGTGATTGACCAAATTAAAAAAAAAAAAATAAATCCAAAACAAAACAAAATTAAATCATTATGACCGTTATATGTGAATCTGCATCAAATTTCAAATCAACTTTGGAATTGTCTAAAACATTTTCGGGTCATAGCAAAAATAACATTTACGGCAGTTCATTGAACTGTGATCGAGATGTGAATGAAGTTCTGGCAAACGACAATAGAAATGAACGCTGGCAGCAGCAGCAGGATCAGGAGGATGAATCAAAAAGTGCCAAAGTGTTGCGTATCGTCTGGCATACTCTATACTCAAAATACGATATTTTGCGTCGGCGTACTCAGTTCTTAAAGAATACAATTTGTCCCGACAATAACAAAAAGTTAATGAAGAAATTTCGTCATTCGATGCGTTTGAATAAATCGGCAAAAAAGAAAGGCTATGAGTATTTTATGAGCGACGAAGATAAAAGGTAACTTTGTAGTTTTGTGTATGATTTTGCTACTAAGAGACAAATTCGAAATGAAAAATTTTGAAAAGTATTGGCCCCAATGGGCGCATTATAATCAATCATAATCGAAAGATACTAAACGATTTCTTAATTCTAGAATGTCATTGTAATAGTTCTCTTCTTTGTAGTATAACACCTTTACTAATTGTCGAAAAATTGTTTGACTGACATACAAGGCCTCAATGTTTTACTTCATTATTAATTCTCATGTGCAATTTTGACTTCATCCATTCAAACCCCTCAAATAAACAAAATTGCTTTAACCAAATTTTTAATTAGTTCTTTTTATTATTTTATCCAAAAACAATTTGTCCTCCATAAAACGAAATACAACAGGCAAAAATGTAATTTATTGAAATAAAAAAAAAACTCCTAAATTCGGTTGTGCCATTTGGAAGAAACTTGTAAAATGTAAAAAAAAAAACAGCTGAAAAATGGCGCAATAAAATATATATGGGGCTATACGAAAACAAAGACTTCTACAGCCAATTATCTGCCAGAAAAGGAGGTGTCTATTACGAACACTAAGTTTAAAATAATTCCAAACACTAAGTTTATAATAATATAGACAGTTTTGTGCAAGGACGTTGCCTACATGCTGGGAACCCAAAGTGCTAATTTACAGTGAATTCCGATAAAAGTGCGACCAAAACACCTTAAATCTGGCGGTACAGAAATATGGGATGGCTATACCAAAACGTGGGCCCACTTGGCCGATTTTCAATACCAAAAGTCCTGGAAATATGAAATACATCTGAATAACATTTGATCAACCTACTTCATTTGGTTCGGACGATAGAGAGATTTCCACAGACGGACGGACGTCTCTAAATATATACCCTCCATACTATGGTGGAGGCTAAAAAATGAGCCAAATATAGAGGAATTTCCCATTTTACAACCTTGTTCTTCAATAAAAGGAAAAAAATGCTTTAAGATTGATTTCACAAAAATAAATCACCAGATTAAAGCAGCTGATTCAACCTCGCAGGAAGAATTTGTAAGAAACTTGAAAATTTTCAAAAAAAATCCCGAAAAATACATGAGCCCATTTACGAACTTAACCTGCCTGCTGGAAAAATATGCATGTAGGCAAAAGTTTCGCCATCCATCTCAATTCGTTCGAAAGATAGCGTGGCTAAATCGTCTTAGAATTTTAAGCTGATTCAGAATATATATACTTTGTAGGGTCTATCATGAATATTTCGAGGAGTTACAAACGGAATGACAAAGCTAATATACTCCATAGAATGGTGGAGAGTATAAAAATGGTATGCCCCCTCAATAACGATTACGTCTAGTTTTACAAAATATTAATGATTTAAACAACATTATCATCCATGTATCTAAATGTAATTGCCATCAGAAAAGGACTCAACAAACGGCTATGAATATGCTAAACTAATTCCATGGAGCCGAGCGAACTTCGGCTTCTTAATCGTATAGGTTTCTTTCCTCCTCTGCGCATTTTGATAAGAGCAGAGAACGCAAGTTATTACCACCCGCAAGCCGAGAGTCCAATATATTCTGATTTTGAAATAAATAGGACCACAATGATGTGATTTATAACAAAATAGATTATAAATATGTCATTAAAATATCGTTTTCTTAAATTAAGATAACTCCATACGAACCAACATTTTAAATTTGAAAAATAAGTGGTATAGTTCAAAAGCATATACTAACATATCAGTACCACACCGCTTATATGTCGTATATGTTATTGGCTTACTTTCGCTCTTTCACAAAAATATAATTCAAATTGATTTCCATAACCAATCGACGCCCCAAAAAATGCAATACTACCACAAATCAACACCAACATCTATTTTTAGAACTGTAAACAAAAAATATCTATATGTTTCATATGTGCAAATGCAAATACTCGACGTGAGAACAAAGTGTGGCTATGTTTGCCGATAATATCTTTTGTATAGGGGACATACATATTATCATTTCAAAATACAAGAAATTGCCTCATACGCATCTTCGTAGATTTCATGCCAAAGCCAATAAGTTCACGTGACTTTAAGACTTTACAATAAATTGAATAAAATCACTTACTTGGAATTTATTAAATGATTCCATGCATTGAATATATCTTCTTCAAGCTGTTAATATTGGCACAGCAACGTTATCAACTTGACAGGCATTGGGTTTGTGATAAGATTACAAAAAGGAAAAAAATATTCCTCTGTGTAAGTTTCATAGATCAAAATGATTACTGGAAAGAAATAAACCCAAGTAAATGCATATTTACATACACACATATTTATTTAAACCCAAACAATATTAGAAACAAACAAACGCTGTCACTGAGTGATAAGATTAACAATAATTTAGCAATTCACGCTCAACACCTTTCATTTCAAATTCTTCTTTTCAAAATGTCGTAAATTTCGTAGTTATTTGTTGGTGTCTCTGATAGTAATCTCAAGGCTAAGTAAATACGTCATTCTTAGTACGACATACGTACTTACTGTTCTGTGAAAATAAATCACACTTCTTTTGTCCATTTTCATTTTAGATTTGTGATAAATAAAACCCCCAACCTTTTTGTCCGACATAAAAGAAATTAGATTAGAAACCCGTCTTCTATCCAATTCAATGTTCTGACATCGGAGCTAGAACCGATTATAAACTACAAATACCAATTTTTATACAGATCCGTGAAAAAATGTAACAAAAATTATCAAAATATCGAATGTCGGAAGATACCTTTATATGGGGGCTATACCAAAACATGGACCTATAACCTACAACATTTTTAGAAATGTGGCAAAAATCATCAAAACACCAAATGTCAGGAGGTTCCGTTATATGGGGGCTATAACAAAACGTGGACCCATATATATATACTATGTTGAGCCACCGGAGCTATAACCCACTATGACCTACAAATACTAATTTTTAGACAAATCCGTGAAAAAAATGTGGCGAAAATCATCAAAATACCGAATATGGTGAGATACCGTTATATGGCGGCTATACCAAAATGTGAACCGATATATCTCATTAGCAATATCAACCATCCTAGATACAATACAAATTGTTCTGCTAAATTTTGACGCTCTATATCAAATAATATGTGCTGTATCGTGATTACAACAGACTGATAGACGGACATTGTTAAATCGACTTAGAATTTTATGCAGATTATGAATTTGTATTCTTTATGGGGTCTACGACGAACATTGAGGGATGTTACAAACGGAATGACAAAGTTAATATAGATTTCAGCCATACGACCTCTGGACTAAATATACATATATTTACTTTGCATAAAATAATTTATTTGATTTAAATGTCATTGTTTATTGCAATGTAACGCGGAACCGACCAATCTGACCAAATGTCTGAGAGATTCTGACGTAAACCAATTTAAATAGAAGATTGTCCAAAAGAATTGCAGCAGATCATACAACGTTTAATTAAATGCCCAGTTGTTCTCGTACAAAAGACAGTAGTTCTGACACAAAAGACACTTGTTGAATATCTCAGCATCATCACTTTGAACCACTGACCCGCTTCTGGTGGTTCAACAATGTGGCGACATTGAAATGTTTTCGTTGCCCTTTTGTTGCTCAATTAAGTCTAATTGAATTGAATCTCTTTGCCGATGCATGTCAAAACCACAATAAAGAGAATATCTTTGGCATTTTCCATGTCTCATGGCATGTCAAACGCGCTAAATTAGTTAATTGTATTTTTATAATAATACCCCTTCTCTCTTTACTTTTTCATCAGGCGAATGGATGAGTATACCAGCCGGCATTCCGAATTGTCCACGCGGTTTGGAGTATCTTACGAGTATAGATCAGCTTTTGGTTAAGCAGAAAGTTGAACTTTTAGAAGCATTTACCGGTTTTGAGACCAACAACAAATTCTCCATTAAAAACGCCCTAGGTCAAAAAGTCTACTATGCCGTTGAGGACACCGATTGTTGTACGCGTAATATGTGCGGTCCCGCCCGTCCCTTTGATATGAAAATCTTTGATAACTTCCGTAATGAAGTCATGCACCTAAATCGACCATTGGCCTGTTCTTCCTGTTGCTTTCCATGTTGTTTGCAGTCAATGGAAGTTTCAGCTCCACCCGGAAGTGTTGTTGGTACCGTGGAGCAAGAGTGGACCATATGTTCACCAGCATTTCGTATCAAGAATCATGTCGGTGATACTGTCCTGCGTATTGAGGGTCCATTCTGTACATTTTCTATGTGCGGTGATGTTGAGTTCCAGGTGAGTCATATCTCGGCTAGCATCGGAAATTTTGTATTAAACCTATGATTTTCTTCTTTTTTTCCAGATTGTAACCCTTACCGGAGAAAATATTGGTAAAATCTCAAAACAATGGTCGGGCTTTGCACGCGAAATATTCACAGATGCAGATTTCTTTGGCATTACGTTCCCCCTGGACTTAGATGTTCGCATGAAGGCAACGCTATTGGGTGCATTATTCCTTATTGTAAGTATTTAGTTTGTAATTATATTCAAAATTTTTGAAAACAGTTCTTGGATTTGACAAGTAAAAAACATTAAGTTCGGCCGGGCCGAACTTTTAATACCCTCCACCTTTGGGTATAGAAAATATTTTTATATATTAAAGGGTCTGAATTCAAACGTGTTCCACTTTAAACTACAAATACCAGTAAGACCATTTGGATAATGCTGTTAAAATTGTCAAAAAACCATAAAGTGGGTGAGGTCTTTATGTGGGGGCCATACCATGGGAACGGGAACCTCTATAGACAATTTTATACTTCAAGTATTATTTTCATCTACCAAATCTTCTTAAATACCAAATTTGAGACAATTTCCGAATGTCGGTGGATATCGTTATATATGTGTATAGGAAAACATGGACATGAATATTTAATGTTCTGCCACCGGAGCAAGAACCCCTTATAACCTACAAATACCAATTTTTAGACAAATCCATGAAAAAATCGGCAAAATACCGAATATAGGGAGGTCCCGGTTGTGGGAGCTATACAAAAACGTGGACCTATACATACAATATTGAGCTACCCTAGCTACAAATGCTGTTTTTTAGAAAAATCCGTAAAAAATCATCAAAATAGCGAATACCGTAAGGTACCGTTATATGACGGCAATACCAAAACGTGGACCGATATACCTAATTTTTAATACCAAACATCCTGGACACAATACAATTTGTTTTGCCAAAATGTGAAGCTTTACGTCAAATAATGTGGGCTGTATCGTGATTTTAACAAACAGACAGACCGACACACAAACGGACAGACAGGAAAAAATCGACTTAGATTTGTATGCTGATTATGAATATATATATTTTATGGGGTCTATGACGAATATTTAGGTATGTTACAAACGGAATGATAAAGAAAAGCTAATAATACAAACAATTCCACACTTTGCAATTTACATAAGTTTACCAAGTATGTGTGCTAAAGAGATCCTAATAAGTCCCGGGATGTGCATTAGTAGTGGTAATATCACAGGCAACTCGACATAATATTTGTAGTACCAGCGTATGTCTGCTTTATGTTGAGTATACATTTAATTAAGACTTCTGAAGCCTTCACAAAATCGTATATTAGTTTACCATAATATGGTTGAGAGCTTATATGATATCGATTCTAAGGAACATGTTCCTAAGTGAGCCAAGCTTTTCGGCCCAGTAACATTAAGTCATTTGTGTTATTCTTACTTGAATCCAAAATGATCATTTTGGTGTTGTACCCTATGTCCTGATTGCTCCAAATTGGTGAGTAAGGCATGTCTTACTTATGTTTTCAGTCCAGATGCGCAAGTGGGCGTTTTCTAGGCTTATTTCTTTTCAGTTATGAAAACTGATGCAGTCCATAGATTCTTAATATCCTTCCTTCTTTCCTTAGTTCAAATCTTATGTTACGCGCTGTAGTTGACATGTCGTTTATTTTAAGGTTATTGATAGCCCAACTAGTCTGTTTTATATTTTAGCATTTTTTATACCCTCCAACTTGGAAAGGAGTGTATATTTACTTTGTCATTCCGTTTGTAACATCCCTAAATTTTCGTTGTAGACCCCATAAAGTATATAAATTCATAAATTCTATTTCGTTTTGTCTATGTCTGTCTGTTGAAATCACGATACAGCCCACATTATTTGACGTAAAGCTTCAAAATTTGGCAGAACGATTTGTATTGTGTCTAGGATGGTTGGTATTGAAAATGAGATATATCGGTCCACGTTTTGGTATAGCCTCCCGATATTCGGTATTTTGATGATTTTTGCCTCATTTTTTTCACGGATTTGTCTAAAAATTGATTGCTGTAGGATAAAGTGGGTTCTATCGGCGAAACAATGTATGTATAGGCCTACGTTTTGGTATGGCTCCCATATAACAGTACTTCCCCGATATTCGGAATTTTGGTGATTTTTGCTAATTTTTTTTCACGGAATTGTCTAAAAATTGGCATTTTTAGGTCATAATAGGTTCTAGCTTCGGCGGCCCCCCCCATATAACGGGGGGCTATACAAATATTCGGTATTTTGACTGTGTAGGTCATAATGTATAGGTCCATTTTTGGGGTTATGGGGACTATACCCATATAACGGTACCTACCCATATTCGATATTTTGATGATTTTTGCCACATATTTTAACGGATTGGCCAGAATTTGGTATTTTTAGTTCGTAATGGGTTCTAGCTCCGGTAGCGAAACATTGTATATATATATTTCCACATATTTGCAAAGCCCCATAAAACGGTACCTGTTGATATTCAAAAAATTGGTATTTGTTGTTCATAATGGCTTCTAGCCCGGTGGCAGAACATTGAATATTTAGTTCCACGTTTCCTATAGCGCACATATAAGGATACCCACTGATATTCGGTATTTTGATAATCCAAGTAACATTTACTCACATAATTGTTTCAAATTTGGTATTTTAAAAGATTTGGTAGATGACAATCCTTGAAGAATAAATTGTCTATAAAGGTTCCCGTTTTGGTATAGCCCCATACAAGAGCCTGACTCACTTTATGGTTTTTTGATAAGTTTAACTACATTATCTAAACGGTCTTACTGATATATGAAGTTTAAAGTGAAACACGCTTGAGCTCAGATACTTTTATATAAAAATGTTTCCTTTACTCTAAGGTGAAGGGTATTCAAAGTTCGGCCTGGCCGAACTTATAGCTTTTTTACTTGTTTAATAATTCAAACAGCTCCACTTAATAATACGTCTTAAGGGATATAAATTTAACTACCAGGATGTAGTGAATGTAGTATTATTTTTTTTATTTCTATCAATTTTGTTTAAATTTTATATTTCGTTTTTTTAACAAGCGTTATTATGTTGGAAGAAATGTTCAACCGCCAAGAAAACGCATTCAACGTGGCGTTTCCAAAGCAGTCGAAAGAGTTATGGTTTAATTTGAATGTTATAGAACGTGGGAAACAAATGTGCCAACAAGTATATACTATATATAATGATAAAAAAAATAAGCAAAACACAATCTGCTGTATATATTTTTTCAACTTTATCAATACCTAACAACTACTTAAGTATATGTCAAACAGGTTCAAATTTCTTATAAAACTAAACTGTTGGAGATGAAAGGTGATTTTAAAATATGTCTTGTTGTTCTTTCCATATAAAGTAGAAAAAAGTTTGTTTTGAATTTAATCCCTTTTAGTTGTTACTTTCTTATTTAATATAAAATGTAGTTTTCATTGCAACATAACTCATAGTCCTCGTTTCGCATTTGAATTGGAAATGTTCTCAAGGGTTTAAGTTTTTCTTAAATCTTAGGATTTAAGATGTACATGTGTAGGCGCTACAATTCAAGATAATATTATTTAAGACTAACACGATTCAAACAGAACATATTATCCAAATATACATATTATATAAACATACGGTATATCTAAACACCCTTTGTTGTTATCTATTTTCTCTTTTTTTTAATATTTTTTTATGTATTTTCCATTAGTGGATTTCGAACTTTTTAATTAGTACATTTTTTAAGGGATGTTATTATTATTTCATTATTACAATTCATTAAAATGTTCAATGCACATCTAAGCAATTTTAAGTATTTTCAACTATTTTTATTCCCGAATAATACTTAGTAAGAAGTGTGCTAGATTTCTATAATTTCTCCCAGAGTTCTCTAATTCCATTTCTCTAATATATATTTAATAAAATGCCAATATTTTTTTCATTACAGGATGCTATGTTCTTTGAAAAATCTGGAAATAGAGAAAGTGATGGAGTTGGTATGCTGTCGTAAAATACAAAGACTTAATGTTTCTATTGGATGTGTGTCAACGCTTACATGTCTGTTTTTTTTTTTTTTTGTTTTCTTTTTAATTTAATACACATATAAATAATATTGTCATCGAATATATATACAAGTATTTTTCATATACTCTTATATATTTTTGTAACAACTCTTTGTAATTGACCCTAAAACCATTTAAAGATGTATGCATGATATACGCTTTGTTCAAAACAACGTGGCTTACATATTTAACTATGTATAATATTATTCATCATGTTAGCTTTTTTAAAATACTTATTAAATATACAGGCCTATTTTCTGTTTTGATTTTATTAAATCTACAATATGAAAGTATTTAAAACTTTATTATATTATTATAAAATATTCCCCGTTCAGCAGCAAATACAATTTTTTACTCAGGAATTTATTAATAATAAATATTCAAGCAAAGCTTGAGAAGGAAAATTGCTTCATCCAAATATTTTCAAAATTAGTTTAGTCTTAATACCGAATATTTTTATCTTTCTAACGGTTATTATACTATTTATTATTTTATCTGGAATTTCCTTTATGTTAATAGGCGTCTTTTTATAACCAGTAATGTTTGTACTTCAAATATAAAATAACATATAAAAATGTTTGTTGTTTACAATGAAACTATTTGTTGTTTTTCAACTCCAATTTTTATTTTCAATAATAAAATTATTAACGAGTGTACGCTAATATTGTTCGTCTTCCAAATTTATTACATTGTCTTCTTACGAATCGTATTTGGCTGAGATCTTACAGAATACTAACAGAATCTCAGCACAAAATTTCAAATTACAATACGAACTATGGAAAAATTGTGTAAAGCAGTTCCTGGTATGATGTCGAGAGAAATTTTCAAACGATTTTGGGGATTGAAAAGAACGCATTTTTTGATTTTGTGACAATTTCCAAAAAAAAAAAACTTTAAAAAAATATATGAAAATGGGACAATTTTTGGATGTTTGTTCAGAATATCTGAACTCGTTCTGAATGTTTAATCTACAATTTAAAAAATTTCAGATTTTACATTATATTTTGAGATACAAGCGCCTTTTTGAAGAAAATCGTCGTTTCTAATCATTTGTATACCTTAAGCCGCAATGAACATTAGGGTGTATATCATCCGAAATGAGAGAGACATTTTGACATTTGAGTTACTAAAAGTTTGCAAATTCTTACTGGGAAAAATTCCCTTTAATTATCATTAGCTAACATTAGCTGTTCAATAATCAGTTGTTTTGTAAACAAATAAATAAATTTAACCAATCTATTTTTTGAAGATAAAGCTATTAAATTTATTAACAAAAATTTGACCAAATAAAACGTAAGTAAAGATGAAAAATAAATAATTGTAGAGCGGGTGTTGAGCTATTTTGTTCATATATGTGTCAATGTGTGGAGATGCTGGAATAATAGGTATGTGTTGTAGACGGTATCTTTGTGCATGGGAACAGTTTCTGTTTTTATTATTCTTTTTATACCCTACAACACTATATGTTGGGGTATTATAAGTTTGATTGGACCAAAAATGATGTAACATCTCGAAATATTGGTTCCCGACATAGGAAACTATGTATGGATCTTCCTATCTCGCCGAGCTGAATCGATCAAGCGATGTATATCCGTCCGTCCGTCTGTCCATGCTAATTTTTAATCACGCTACAGGTCGCAATTATGGCCCGATCCTCATGAAATTGAAAATGTAGGTGGGGATAGGGTCAGCATAGAAGCCTATTGTTTTTGGAGATGATGCTGTTGCTCTACAGGCCATAATTATAAAATTATAAACCAAACGGCATGGAGTTAGAGTTTAGGGCTGGGCAGAAGTCTATAAATTTGTATGGTCATCGGGTAAAATAAAATATAATTTTTATCTCAAAAAATACGAAAATTTCCACTAAACCGCGAATATTTTTAATCCAGGCCAAATCACAAATTTATTAAAAGGTCACTTCGAACCATTACAGTGAAGCTTATAGCCAAGATATCGCATATACATATAGCAAAATAGATATAATATATTTGTAAAATAAATATACCTTTTTATAATGATGTCCTTGAAAGGAAAAGGATAAAATCTAAAAATATATGCCAATTAAATAATTAATTTTTTTACATTACATGCGATTTTTTTTAACTTACAATTTTGAATTGTACCTTCCCATCCATACGGTCTGGATCGCCAGCAATCAATTGAGGATTCAAGAGGTCTCAAGCTCTTTGCATGTCCCACCATTTCTGGTCCCATTGTACTAATTTGCCAGTCATGGGATTTGTTATTTGCTGTTGTTATTGCACCTGTTAAACTCTTGCAGTCCTGGAACAGACTAAAGGTGAGAATACATAAAAGGCTTTTTTCACTGGCTTAAGTCATCGGCTGGCTTCTTCGTAACATCGGTTCAGCTCAGCGAGATTGGAAGATCAATGTATACTTTCCTATGTGGGAAGCCAACATTTCGAAGTGTTACATAATTTTTGCCCCAATCAAACTTATAATACCCCCAACACATAGTGTTGCAGGGTTTACAAAAAGGTATTTTCATTTAGCATTATTTTTTGGCATTTTAATTTTTTTTGTTTGGCATTTTTTAGCATTATTTTTTTATGCTGTTTTAGTTGCAATGCTATTGTAGATCTGGTCACACTGAATGTTACGTATGAGTCCGATTGTCTTCAAATTACACACATCAAAATATTTTGATTAAGCCAAGGTCTGGTGTGAAGATGGAATATATCGGTCCACTCCTTCTGGTATCTCCCCCACAAAAGGTTAACATTTTGAGTATCCATGAAGTTCAGTTAACGCGAAAATAACGTCCGATTCCATTCAGACTAAATATTTCCATCAATACAAGATATGTTATAATGATGGTAGAAATCGTACCATTTATTCTGGTAACTCCCCCACATAGGGTTCAAAGAAAGCGAAATAAAAATTCAAACCCATCTATCCATCTCCTCAAATTTCGCACATACAAACATTTTTGCTAACACAAGATCTGTTGTGAGGATGATATACATCTGTCAACTTCTTCTGGTACTTCACCCACAAAGGGTCACAATTTCCATTACTTATATCTATCATAACTTGCGAAAAAAGTCGGTAATTCTTTACAACTGGTTATTTCTAAATATTTCTCTTAACCAGAAATCTGATATGAAAACGTAATTTATCGGTATTTATGATTTCGCATAAAATTTAATACAAATGTTCGATTTCCTTAAAATTTTGGATATACCAGTAATTTTAATTGTATTAGATGAAGTATGAAAATGGAATACTTCTGTCCGCTATATCTGTTACCTCACGCATATTTCCAAATTTTCCAAAAATGTACACATATCTCATATAAAGTGTAGGAAGTGGTCGATATAGTCTAAATCTGGCACGTTGTAATATTTATAACAGTCATACGAATTTGCCAATAATGGCCAAATGCTTCGGAACCTCCCCCATAAAGGGTCAACAGTGTGAATAATCATAACGGAAGACTGGGGGCATACATCTGTTGGCAAAACCGACTGATACTATTTTACTTGTTTTTTTTTTTTTTTACTTTGATAGGAATGTGTGGATGTCTAGAAATTGAATTCGGAAGCTGTGCATGTGATTGTTGTGATTGCGATGAGTCCGATGAGGGCGACGTGTGCTTTGATTGCACTGCATGTCTTGATGCAGTCGAAACGGAGTTATGAAAAATACTGTCAATTCCGCCAAGTTATCATGCAATCGTGTAATCTTCCGCTTTAGTATACGACTAAGTGAGTACAAACGTATAAAACAAAAAAAAAAGCGCTCAAGAAAAGTGAATGAAATAAAATTAATTTTATAATATCTTCCAGAAAAATATAACAAAATTGGATTTATTATTGGCAGAAATTTATTTTGAAAAGTTGTAGATAAAGAAATAAACAAAAATTTGTTAAAATGTTTGAGAGTTGCAAATCAATTTAACCAATTGTTATCGTTACTGTCTTTCAAAAATGAGGTTAATTTGGCTTCGGAAGTGGCATTCGTTCTAGACTGTGAAAAATGGATTCGTATTGTATTGCACACAAACAATATGCTTTTATTTGAAACAAAACACAAATCTCTTATGATTAATAAATGAATTAAATCAATGATTAGAATACCTTTAACTTATTATTCAAGTATTAATAAAATTGAAGTGATATTTCCCATAAAAACTAAAACTGATTCAAGCAAATTATTAAATTCAAATACTTTGAATCTCATTTTTGTACACAAGGCAATTATCAGGACTTTCTGGTTACTTTTAAGGCAGAAATTGTCCAGTACAAGGAACAGGGTGAGATGAAAAAACTGCAACCAACTTCAGACTGCTGTCTTGTTTTAGCCACTCGCCCGACAGCTGTTAAAATTATTCCAGTGACAGCTCATTATATTGTTTACAAGCGTACAAAAGCATTTTGGTGAGAATTTTCAAGAAAAAATAAATTTATTCCTGATGGAATTCAAGCGTGATAGTGTGATTTCTTTATATTTGGCTGGAAAACCACAAGTGGCTATCGTTAGAGCATTCCAGCATTTAAATGTGAATAAATCGTTTGTGTCTCGTACCATCCATCGTTACCGTGATACTGATGGCGTAGTCCGACGTCAAGAAAGTGGACGGAAGAAAACAGCAACATCAGCAGAAATGGTTTGAAAAGTAAAGAAGCGTCTTGATCGAAACCCGCGTCGCAGTGGCCGAAAAATGGCTCGTGAGCTGAACATATCGCAATATTCAATTCGGCAAATATTGAAAAATGAGCTCGAGGTAAAGCCATTGAAATTCCAAAAGATTGCAAGAACTTTCACCGCAACAGAAAGAAAATAGACTCAAAAGAGCTAAAGAGTTGCTTAGCTTGGCCGAAAGAGGTGAACTGCCGAATTTGGTTTTCTCGAATGAGAAAACATTCATTGTCCAGCAGTTTGTAAATAAACAAAATGATCGTTTTAACTCAGCTGGAAATGTGCACCTTCGGTTGGCCATCAGAACTCTAGCGCCGACCATGGTGATGGTGTGGGCCGACATAACAGCCGATGGTTGCTCTCCGCTCGTATTAATCGACCGTGGTATCAGAATAAATACCGAATATTATCGCGAAAATATTCTGGAGGGTGTATTAAAGCCTTGGACATTCCAACAGAACTCAGCACCATCGCACTCAGCACACACCACCCAAGAATAGTTACAAAATGAGGTTCCTCGCTTCAGTTCCGGCGCACAATGGCCACCAAAATCTCCGCATACTAGTACGTTGGACTATTGTGTTTGGAGTAAGTTGGAAAGCAAAGTTGGCACTAAAAAATACCAAAGTGTCGATCACCTCAAGCAACCGCTTCGCTGGGAATGGGATAAAATACCGCAGGGCAACATTCGGGCAGCGTGTGACGATTTTATTGGCCGTTTGAAGACCATAATTCATGCCAAAGTTGACCAATTCGAACAAATCTAAACGTATTCTAAAATTTGATGCTATTTCCGACATTTTTGGCTTTCATTCAATAAAATTTTTAAAAAATGTAAAAATTGTGGCGTTTGACTTTGTTGCAATTTTTTTATCTCACACTGTAGATAGGTATATCAACTACTCAAAGTTTGCGCAACTTTGCTTCAACC